CAATTAAGCGGGCGTTTAATTCAACAATGTGTGTTCATACATCTCATGTCTCTACTGTTTCACTTTTGTGATTTATGCCACAGTTGTATGAATACGCTTTGGAGCTTTTCGTTAAGCGGACAATTAGTGCAACGTAGAAAACTATATCGAATACGTACATTATATAGTATTTGTCAATCCAGACTTCACAGGTACAATTAGCCTGCTAGGCTATGAGCAAAATAGGACGAACAAAAATAGGACGCTTTCAGCCTCAAACTTTAAAACCTAGTCGACAATATATGTAACGAGGCTTTTAGATATTACCTTAGATACCCATATATATATACGGGTGTATATCCCTGTGGTAGTAGCATACCTGCTGATAAAGTTAAGGGGCAAGTTATGGTGTAGGTTCAAATCCGGCCGTAGACACACTTCGTCTCATGCTAGATATATACAGATACATGTCTGCGCATCGATCAATAGAGCACAGCTAAAGGTTGCTCTTCTCATCTTCAGCTATTTAGCTGAGAAAAAATTTTACATTGATACACAGTGCATGTGATATTTCTTTTAGGTGGAAACAGTTTTGCCTCTACGAGAGCTAGTTTTCTGAATTCGGCAGAAGTGAGATGAAAGAGATCGCTTGGATAAATAGTGACGCTTTGCAAAAATTGCTACGCCACTTTATTGCACATAATATATGGACAGAAATGCCAAGTTTTGGGACGCAGCGACACCGGCATCCTGTTGTTTAATAACGCTTCAGATAGTTAAGCATACCTGGAACGAAGCACACGTTCAGTAGATATATGAAAAGGTATCGATCTGTTACAGAAATTCGCCAACAAAAACAAACGAAAGATAGATTATTGCGAGTAAACATTCTGTCGTCATCGACGGTGTGGGCATATCGTAGGCTCGAATAGGCATACTGCATTAAACACTCTAATGTCTCGGTGCCTTGACACGGAAAGATTCATTTACTACTATTATATCGTAATGGCGGAATCCATAGACGATCTACCCAGTTAGAACAATTGAGCGATTAACCCTCATAGTCGTTTATTGAAGTGAAACTTCTCTGGCATAGACTAACGGTGAATAACACCCTTACGTTTCTCTTTAATGGAAATACAGATACGTAGACGTATATATACGTACATGTATACGTACATACATATATATATATATAGTTTTTTTTGGAAATATGTTCCTCTATTCGCACAAGCTGTACAACACCTACGTATTTTTTGGTTCTCTACTTTCAGCCAGAGACTTGGTCGTTAAAGTTGTCGCGTTAGTATATAGTATTATATCAGTGTGCGTGTGTGAGGGAACGTGTGGTAGAGGGGCTGCACGGGCCGCTCTGTTTTCCTCTAGCAAAGCAACGGTGATCTGAAATGTCTTTGCTGCTAAACTTTTGAGATTTTGATTAGTCGAAAATTCAATTCAATTCGCAGTACTGGATTGCCTAAGCATTTAAAAAAGTGCGATTATATGGGACAATTTTTCTTTTGGGCATTTTACTGAATTTGTGTCGAACAGTAAATGGACAAAATAACAAGACGATCTTTCTATTGCAGTTTCATCCTGTCATGAACAAGCTACATTTTCAATGAAAAGATTTATAAGAATATTACTTGGAGTTTTATTTCATGACCGCCTAGTAGGCTATATAAGCCAGGGCGGGGTAGAGCTATACGGGTCAGTACATCTCAAGCATGCATTCTTGTTGCATTCCCTGGACTAGATGTTACTGTTGTCAACGACGTATAATATTTGATTGTTTTTGAAAGAAATTTTAACAGCCTTACTAGGATAACGCTTCGTTCGCCCACATATACACCACACGACAGATGATCACGACCACGTATCGTAGTAATAAGCAGGCGGATATGGTAATGGTATAGAATTTAACGCCGTCAAATTAGCTTCGGAGAACCGTGTGCACATCGTTATTCTTTGTCCTCACTTGTCGAAGAAAATGCAACTCGTTAATGTGCTCCATACTTGGGCCATTAAAAGTCTGACTTGGCACTGCTAAGCAGAATTTCACGTAAACTTATTATAAGCGAGTCATCATTTCTGATTTGCCTATCTTGGCGGGAAATGGTTTCTTGGCCAAAATCACAGCCCTTTTCGTAAACAGAAGCTTTTTCCTTTTACCTTCGTAAACTTTGTCATATCATTAGTGTCCCATATAGTTCCACCTCTAGTACATACAACCACATATCGACAGGCTATATGGGCCTACCGATATTTTCTTGAACACTGATCAATTGTAATGCATCCACATATACCCAACCTATACACACAATGCTTAATAATGTGACGGTATTAATAGATTCCGTGTAAATGTTTTAATTGACTGCCTTAGTCTATAACGAAGTTTGATTCTTTCAAAATCGAGATCTGAAATCAAAATTAAATCAGATCTGCAATGTGCACTCTTGTGTAGAACATTAGAAATAGATTTAAGTAATAATCATAGTTGTAATGGTGTGGCCACCTACGTGTTGCTAATCTAAAATAACGCTTTTTATGATGAATCTGTCCATGACTTCGGTAAGCCTAAACGATACGTTCATAAGCTTCTATATACATAGGTTTATACAAACCTACAAAGGCTTTAAGCAGTCGCGTAGATCATTCTTGCTGAAATGTTGTCACAGATGTAAATTTCAACATCATGCCTTACGCAACAAAAAAATCTATTTAATAGAAACGGTGGCAGTAATATTCATTATCAAAACTAATGGCGTATAGAAGAAATCAATACTGCACATGACCATTTGTCGAATGCCTGAATTAATCAGATCTCTGGTTGGCCGATTCTTCATAGCGTATCGGTCTTGTGACACAGCTTTTTTTTGCTGTAGATTATATCACGTAATGGAACATTATCACCAGACACTACCGAAGAGTTAATCACTGCAAACACAATTTGCTTAAACTAAAATGGGGAGATTTAATCCTCACCTATTTCTATCTCCCGAACCTGATCTGGTAGGCGTACTAGTATTTTATAATAGGAAAAAGCTTTGAGTAATTTTTTTATCTCTTAACGATTCGTGGGGAGGATATTCTAAGATTGACAAGTTCCTGCATTTTCCCCATTATTTAAATAAATAATACGGGGCTGGCTTTTAAATTAAACCTCTGCTCCCTGTGCAGTTCATTGCATGTTCTTCGTACTACGAAATGCCTTGACGCATGTTTTACATAATATGTTATGTAGCATTTCGTACTATGAAACAATAAAGCTTACTAAACCCAAGCATAAACAAATACAGTATCAGGTGACTACATTTACATGATAAAATGTTCATGTTTTGTTTGCATCCGCCATAACTTCATAGAAACTGTTCAATCTTATCCGGAAATAAAACGTTTTGGTCTTTTATTACTTTATTATCTATTATTGGCAGTCATTCTAAAAGAAGTGAATAAAGTTAATATATCCATTGTTTTTACACCAAATCCTTGTTTTGTTTACTTGCCTCTAATATGTTTGTGAAAAATTATTATAACTTTATATATTATATTTTGGTTACGGTTATAATCGAAATATTTCATCTAAGGATAGTTTAGCCCGGCACAAAAGAGAATGCTAAGGTATTATCTTACTGCGTATTTAAAATGGTACGTAAAAATTAAAAAAGTGTACAATTAGCAAAACACCTCGCAAATCGTAATAATAGAAGAGCGCTTATATCTTTGATATGCTTTAATTACTGGGCCAAATAAATTCATTGGCTAAGCGGAATTCTTTTAGGTACTACGTTTGGATGGAAAAAATCCAAATATCTTTTCTTTAAGTAGCATCGTTTTTATTAACGCTTGCTAAGTTTTTACGTGAATCCTACAATAAAACTATAGGTTAAAAAAAGATACATGGGCCTATAGTGGCTGATTTTTGGTCGCATTCCTCAGAATTTTCGTGTAATATTTCTCATTGATTATTGCAAATTGATTACGAATCACCGTCGATCGTTTCAGGCTTTGTAAAGCTTGATTTTTTCCACTGGATAAGAATTGGTTGGCCTTTCAAATTTCCTGCTCTCGTAGTAACGTCTTTCTCTTCGGTTCTGTTGTTCAAAGCTTCGATAACAAGCCTATTTTTTAGTACCATGAACGTCCCAAATATCGTCTGCTTAGCTGATGACGTTTGAAACATCCGTGGTTGCTTAACAACCGACCAAGTAGCGCCACGCTCTGAATCTTTCATTATCTGCATAACAGGCACATAACAGGCGGGAACATATGAACAGCTTTCTAAGAAATGCTTCATCGTTCAAACGAACCTAAATGAGCAATTTATTTAGTAACTAAAAAAAGTCAGCTCTCACGGAGCCCATAGGGGAACGACTTTAAAGTATCCATCATGAAAGTACTTTAAAAACAATACGCATTCTACAAAACATCAGAGTGATTTTCGGGACGTTCACTGTATTAGGTTGAATTTTCTTACTATATCACTGCATTAGGAAAAAAAAATCCATTATTTCTTTGTCACTATATTGCTGCAAATCAGTACGATTATTTATTAGAAAAGTGTTCTTGATCACTGTTACTAGCATACGTTGGGCCACGTTGGGAGAAAACGTACGGCGAAAATGTTTGGTTTGCTCTTTCTCTAAATAATAGAATAAATGATCTTGGCAGTGAAATAAATCACTGATACGTTTATATGGACATATTGATGTATTGTTACATAGACAAAACTTTACGAGTGTCAACGATGAACCAATTGAGACTAAGAATTATCTCAAAGCAATAAGATACAGTATTCGGTGTATCACATGCATTCGGTGACTGTATCTGACATACTGAGCCAGATCACAGTTATTGCTGGACTGAACGCCTACAACGTAGTTGTTAGATTTATTTCTTAAATTGCTGAATGCGCAAAGTGGCAGCGATGGTGAAGCGCTTCCAGGCAGGAAACTGAGCTAAATAAGAGCTATTGCGATTTGACTGGTACCTGTTATTTCCACACAGACCAAAACGCCCCCCAGTGGCGAACGGCTCACCGCCAAAATACTTCTGCCTGCGTATGGCTCGGTGGGGAGCGATTCAAATACGTCAAGCACAGGATGTTGAAGACGACCTATCGTCTTCATTCTAGTACCTACACGCAAGCGTCAGGTGAGTTGAAGATGAAGGATGCAATGGAGCTTTATAATCTGATCGAGCTTCAGCTATGGTGGATCCTTGAAAGTGTTAGATATCTGGACGAAGCAGGTGTTAGAACATGCAAGTTAATATGGACGTCTGGGATGATGAATCGACCAGCTTAACGATAACACAATATCTAAAATCATCTTTCTCCTTTATGTTCTAAGTAGAGTTAATTTATTCACAAATCTACCGAGTTAGCCGAAATGTGCTCTGGCAGCACCGTCTCACCACGTGCAGTATGGGTGTTTGTACATACATTTTTTTTTTTTTTACTGATCTATATGTATGGAACCAGTTCGTGTCAGGTACGCTAAGTTGGACTCGTCCATTGTAAGCCGGGAGGTGGGTCGTTCAATCGACCGGAAAATGCTCTCGATTCTTTGTCATTGCTGTCACTATACTGGCCTAATGGATTCAGTAGAAGTTAGGAGATACAGACATTATTGCGAATAGCAAAGCGTGTCGTTCTGCCGAAGATAACCGTGTTGCGTATGATTTATTTGTATCGTTGGTGACGTGCAATGGTTATTTAGATTGCTTATATCATCTTCCAAAATGCCCCAACGAAGTTGAGAACTAATCATTTATTGGGAAAGTGTAGTAGAGTCAAAGGGTTAACCTCGATGCGTTCCCTGCAATTGAATGCATTAGTTAACCATAGAGCAAGTACAGAGAATGAATATGTGTTTTGCTCCGCTCAGGATCTATTGGCCATTTTTTATTGTAGATGCTTTAAAAAAAATCCCCACTGAACGTCAGAAACCCTTCAGCATGATAACTTCACAACAAAATATAGAATATCTGAGGTAAAAAAAACTTGATCAACAAACTGAACTAACTTTTTAAGTAGCATATATAATAAAAATAAACATATAATAACAACAACAACAACAACAACAACAAATACGAACAACTCCGACTTCAGCTATCGATATTTTCCAAGGCCAATAAATTAACTCGCAGATTCAATTGCCAAATCATTTTAAATCGTTCTCATCGCAATAAACACACACACACACACACACATATATATATATTTTTTTATCGATTATTACCGAAGGCGCATTTTATTGGTCTTATCTGTTTGGGTTAATAGGGGACTAAAAAAAGGGCAACTTTTGTAGTGTTTGTGTACTTTTTCACAGATTAGCACAGAGAATACGGTGATAAAAAGAGCAAGTCGTTGAGCCAGCTGATTTCAGGAAAATTTGCTGTACTTATGGGCCTCATGTTGAACAAGTTCTACTGTTGTTATCTTGGATCATTTAAGAAGATCAACTTATCAGGCAGTGCTTTCACAATGTGCCATGGAATAAAAAAAAAAGCTTACCAAAACTGGAATGATAGTGTCCGAAATTAAACTAACCCTAAGGTTCGCCTCAGGCAATCAATTGTTTCCGCAAAAAATCGCTCCTTAAAGACACGTTTTTTTCGTCTAAGTTTGCCCGTTCGCGCCGCTACAGATTTCTGGCTGAATACCTGTGAGAAACTAGTTTTCGAATGCAAGTTTAAGCTCCTTGCCATGATGCTCGTCATTTGCATTACACCGATACAGAGTTTAACCAAACTGACTCTCTCGCCGACCTGAACATGGCAGCAGAGTCCCGCGTTTGAGATAAATAGAAAAACATCTATTTGTATGTGTTGCAGTTGCCAACTGGGATACCTCAAATATCATCACACAGAATTACGCAAGAACCATCCGACGGTCAGTAAGATGACCTCAACACGTCAGTTCGAGAGCTCGTTTGAAGTAAGCCCTAGTAGATCTAGCTGTTCCATTAAAAGAAAATTGTGTCTTTATTAAAATTTAAATCAAAAGGTTGTCCACAATTTCTAGAAATCTTTCTACTGATTTAGCGGATCAAGGCCCATCCATATTCGTTTGCAGCGAGTGAAAATATCACAACCCGCTTACGAAAAAACGTTTCACAGATCTTTCTTTTAAACTGGCACAAGCATACGTAATATTTATGCATACATACCTAGCTATAAGAAAAAATAGTTAATACAAACATATGCGCTCCCGACGCTGTACGACGACGCTATGCGGGCCGATAGTGGCGTAATGACTCGTTGCGCAAGCAATGCAGCCGAGATCTGGCGCGCCTCCTATTTTGCTCTCTATCCAACGAGCACGAATAAAAATTCGTATTTGAATTCTGTTTGTTTTCAGGTAATCGCTTTACATCTACGGGGTTGTCATTTATATAATCGATTCGATGCCACTATGTAGACCGGCTAAGTAGCTTTTGAAGCGAATCCGCACAGTGCGGCTGTTTCCTGCACTACGCCCTGATGGCCTGTTGGGGCCGACCTCCACTTAGCTTTCCCCAGCGATATTAGACGGGACTTTGCCATCTAGCGGAAGTCGATGGAACGTCAGGCATATATATATATATATATATATATATAGTCAAATAGGCAGACCAGCTTTCAAGAGGTACAACAAGAGAATACGAAACGATGTACAGGACACAGTGATATGCAACACTCACGAGTTGGACCAGGATGGGGTAAGGGAACAGGGTGTTGTCCGCGGTAAGCGGAAAACTCAGCAGACAGGCTGATGATATAAGCATCCAATCTTATTTCCTTTTTATTCTACCTACAACCGATCTAGTGTGCTATAACAGCAGATAACTGTTCGGAATTATAACAGTGATATTAATACTTAGTCCTGATATGCAGAAGTATAAAACAACGGTTTGGATAACAAAATCCTTCATTTTTTTTTCAAAAAAAAAATTGATATCGTTTTGCTGTACGAACGTTCTGTCCAGGGAAAAAATCTCAAGAGCTAATTACCCTTGGATTAACAGCATAACGATTATTTTTATGCAAATGCTAAGCCATTAGATCTGATCCTATATATCACCACGATCGACTGTTTGGCCTTCTTAAAAGGCTAGCGAAGAACGTTAGCCCTGGAAGAGCAAACCAGGGAGCTTACGCTGGGACGAACTGGTAGGCAGAGACAGGCCGCGGCATAGAGAAACGAATGCGGGTCGGCAGATTCGAATCAGATATTCTGCCCTAATGATGAATATTTGTGTGAGCACTTAGCCACGTTACCAACAGGCCATTTGCGATAGGCGCCGCTACAACTGGTACGAGGACTTATCTCGGTACCGCGCACTGGTGGAAGCCTACGGTGGAGGTTGCCACGAGGAATTGTTGGCGGAAGAGAGCTAGGCAGTATATAGTGACAGGCTGTAGTCGCGCTCTATTCTCTACTACCTGACATCGTTCTACTGTTACCGAGTCAGCCTCGTAATTTTCGGATCGCCTCCTTTCCACAATCTGTCCTTCTCTTTGCGTCACTTTCTACCTATTTCGAGGTTATGTAATGTTGTCGGACAAACGGTTGGCTCACGGGAACCTCTGCCATATGGTACAGATGATAAGCGAGACTAAGCGTTATATATATATATAATTGTATGTGGACCTACATCCGCCAATAGCGCATAGCAGATACCTATGGTTGTAGATTGAAGATTTCAAATGTGTACGAGACATATTTCCAATAGGATCAATAGAAATGGCTAAGATCGGTTTAAATTCGGTCAGTTCGCGCCAACAGCTACTGAACTATATCATTATACACCGATATACGCATATGCATTTGTGTATGAGTTTGTGTCTTTTTTTTTTAATTAGTATCCCTTGCGCGAGGATACTTCGATGGTAGCTTCAGGTGGGCGTTCACTTCTCTGAAACGTCAGATTGGTTATCTTTGGATCTGTCCCCACGAATAGAAATCGCGCCAAGGATTACCATAGCAGCAGCAGTAGTAGTAGAAACAACAACAGCGATCACACTCGCAGCACGACAATTGCAGGCTACAGCTGTACGTGCAGTCGATACAAGGATCGAGCCTTTGCTTGAAGGCGCCTTTCACGTGGTCTTCGCCAATGGATCCGCACCGTCTGTTAAGGTGATGTCACAGACTTCTAGTAGAACTGCGCATCATTCAGGGTGTCTAACTTACATCGACCGAGGGGTAAAAGGAGGCGAAGTGCTCAGAGAAGAAGGATAAAGGGCAGGAGGCAGACAGACGCTGCACTCTATAAATATTAATAACGATTTTCCATAAATATTAATAAGCATTGTGTGTCCGTGTGAATTTTCTGCGGGTAACATTCCCCGCCGCCATTGCGGTGACCACTAGTACGATCGCTATTGTTGTCCACGGGAGGAGTCCTATAGACTTACAATCCTATGCGAATTGGAAGGTGAGGCGAGGGAATACTGGGAACACGGGTGCCTGCCCGTACGATAACGTGACCAGAGACCACACGAGTGAGAGTAATTTCTGTGGCACAAACTGGCCAGTCGACCAAGAAGGCAACCAGCAAGGAAGGCTAGCAGGGAGACTTAAGCTTTTTCGGAATCTGCTTTTCTGTCCTACCTCGGCTTGGTTCCACGAAGGACACAAACAAGACCTATAGGCAGGGAGCAGGACAGGATAACCGTAAGTGACAGGGCACGACCCGCAGCTTTGTTACTATTAGTGTTATTATTATTAAAACCTAGGTTTTCGTATACGAAGGCGAGAGCACAATCTGGAGTCTTGGTCCGGTCCGAGTTTGCCGAGACGCGAATGCCAATTACACACATGTTAGAAAGTATCGGATGGCCTGACGCACGAGTAAGACTCGCTCCCCGGCCGGATAAAAATAAAACCAACGCCAAAACTGTAAAAACTGTGTAGCCCGATTTCGATAGAATAATTTTGGTGTTCGAAACGAAACCTTTCTTGCCTGTGGTAGATGACTGGGTATTTGTGTCTTTGACTTATTTATGATTTAGTTTTACGCATTAGATCAAAGGGACACGAAAAAATCTATTGAGGTCGCAGGGACAGACGGGCTTCGGATTGCATCGGAAGTGCCCAACAAGGTAATGCTTTTATTAGTATTTGTTTCAATTTGCAAACCAACAGGCGGTGAAGCAGGCCATACGAGTTTGCGCAAACGGAAAGAGGGACAAGGACGCAAGCATTATGCGGCAAGCAATAAACATAAAAGAATATTACCATTTGAAGATGTTTTTATTCCGTTGAAACGTTTCGTAAGGTATTTTCGGCAGGACTGGGAATCTTTAACGTATTTTACAGAAGAAGTTGGTCATTATTCGAGCTTTTTAGAGGGACTAGTCAGCATGCTACGCAATTTGAAGTATATTATAAGTGGGCACAACAATACGCTCTCTGTTCAACTTACGATATAATTCAGAATGTTAGAGAAGAAATATGGTGTCTTCAAAATAAAAACGTAACGCTGGATGCCGCCGACGCCACAAAAATTGTATAGTATAATGCAAAGGGCATTCCCAAATACGAAACGAGGGATTTCCCTGCCAATTCCACTGTGCACTCTGCTAGCAGTGGTAACATAGATGAACTTTTTACCGAGCTTCGACTCACTTCGAACATTTGTCTTAGACTCTGATTGTATTGCAGTTCCACCCTTTGTGCATAGATGCGCTCAATAACCTGTACGAACAATAGTGATCTAACATTCAATAAGGTTGTAACAGTAAAAGGTTCAATAACGTAACACTCTCTCATTTTCTCATGAATGTAGCTATCTAACGCAAATATCTGCTGACGAATATCCCTTTTTAGAGGCTTCGATGCGTGTCCTTATTAACTTCAATATGCTAGGTGCAATGCGCTACGGACCTGTCACATCCTTAATCACTGGTCAGCGAAAAACGCATGCACCCTCAGTAACCCTTGCTTTACCTTCTAGCTTATCGATATCATATGATGTATTACCAAGCGATTTCAAGCATATACAAGGTAAACGAGTTTTCTACTCGCTGCTACTAATTGTGCTCGAGCGAACTCGATCTGAAAAGATTTCAACTCCGTGTTCTGAAGCCATCTGCCTACTTTGCTCGTGTCTCGGCCGCGTATCGGAAACTGCCGTCACGATAGTAGCGAGTGACTTCAAAGGTGACGAACTTGCTTCGCAAAGCTAGCGGCCGGAGTAAATTCGGCCTTTCTATGAACTCTCTTAAAAACGCACCCTCGAGGCCATAATATATTAAACAAGCATTATACAGCTAGCTGTTCAACGAATGTATCAACACATTTCTATTTAAGCAAACATCTATGTACGTACACAGAGCTGCATACATTCGCAAATACGAAGGTGCTTGTACCGCTGCTGGCTCTTGAATAGGTAGGGAGAAAGGGAGGAAACATACCTGCAGAAAAATAACCCCGGCTAATACGCATTCGTGGATTATTATCTTAGGAGAGTGGTCATTCGAGCTGTGTGCCTCCGTCGTATAGTACCATAACGTGAAATACAACCCCTTCGGAATATCTTATACTTAAGGAAAAGAGGTTCGTGTACTTTACTAATGGTTTCAGGCATTTATTCGGAAGGGGCAAGGGTTTTCCTTCTTTTCAAAATCAAATTTTCATTTTCGAGAACTATCAGCAGGAACAGCAACAAAATGGTTCCGGGATCCCAATAACGCGGTTTATGAATGAAAAGTTAGATTAATTTGCATTAATGAAAGGTCGCTAAACAGTTAAAATAATGACAAACGCAATGAGATAGTTAAACACACTGTAAAAATGTTGTCGTTTTTCAAGGCTCCTAGCAGATTGTTTCCATTTATTAAAAACATTGTGTCATTGGGTGGTGTGTTCTTCAGTACGCCTTAAGGTTAGTGAAGGAACAATTCAAGCTAATTGGAGAAAAACTATTTTTCCATTATTAATCCATATTTAAGAAGGATGCGACAATGTAAACACTCGGTATTTCACTCCGATCCCGTTTTTTTTTTTTGTTTCCAGTATAAAAATGCGAATTAGAAATTGTTATATTTATTCCCCTCTTATTTCGATGGCATCGTAGTAGATTTAACGGCCAACAAGGCTGCGTTTGCCTCGATCCTCTTTATCCGACGTGTTAATGCAGGAACTTCTAAATTAAGTTATCAGGTTCCTGCATTGACACGGCGACGATTATATAATACAGTAAGCATTTGGCGAGTCATGCGTTGTAACAAGTATTCACGTCTTTCCTAAAAGTGAGTTGATTCCTACCAATACGAATCGGTAGAGATTCTTGAGTAGTGGAAATTCCGCTCATGCACAGATATACTTTAGGGCAAAGTGGGCATTTAAAGCTTAAACAGAGATAGACTAAACTGAGGATACTAATTATAAAATGTTCTACTACTGCTGAAACTTACCTACAATCGTATGACCTAAACCCTTTTTTCTTAGTTTTTACTATTGTTCCCCTTTTATTCACACCATATATTGATTTCTAGTCCCATAGGATATATATTAGCAGAAATGGCCATCTGCATTGATCTATGCAAGCCAATCAGTTTCACCTATTCCGTCGGGTCGGTCTTAATCAACCTGCGTTTGGTTACTTCATGGTGAAAATGAAGCGTGTGCACTTGCTAACTGATGGAATTTATATAGTAGTCGCTGACACTTCAATGCGCAAAAATTGAGGATTCGTAT